CCATAAAATCACTGAAAAGCAGCAAACAGCTGAGTGAGACCTTTTAGTCTTGCAGCAACTATCCTTTTAGTCTGGTTATATTTTATCATTTAGATAACACTGTGTATGAACTGTTAAGCCTGCAACTGGGCTTCAGGACAGGTATTTAAGTGCTCCACAGGAAGAGAGGAAAGCTGCTTTCCAAAGGAGAAGAATAGCAACCTATAGCTGTGGGTGGACCCAGTTAATCTCCTGTTATCTGTTCTGATAGCCAAATTATGCTCCTATCAGTGTTAGTCCTGTCCCTGCCAATGCAATTACAAAGCCTCACTGGTTTATATCTCTTAGTGAGTTTGCTGCTGCCCAATTCCCCTGGCTGGGTCAGGCAGGGGCTCTGTCTGCAAAATGGCCTGACCCAAGCAAACCTGCTCCCTGCTGCAGCAAAGCTCCTTGTCGTGCTCCCTAATCATCCCTAATCCCAGCAGCTGATTCCCCTGATTATGTGTCAGAACATGAGGGTAGCCCGTTTAAAAGGAGCTGTTTTCCAGCAGCAGCACTTCCTCCCCTTAGCTCAAGGATGTGGGTCTGACACAAGAGGTGTCTCAGAGATGGCTCTGGACTGCAGCATGGGAAGACAGCATGTGTCTGTCAGGATAACACTTAGCTCGCTTTGGGCTCTTTGCCCTATTTTCTAGCTTTCTGGCTGCTGTACAGATAATAGAACCCCTCCAGAGCAGAGGAAGTCTGGCACTGAGCAGGATTCTTTCGAGTAATGCATAGCCCTGGCAGGTATTAATCCTGGTGGTTTAGGCAGGTGTATGCTAGTGATCCTGGAAACTAAACACAGATTTCCATGGTAAAGGTTTAGTTTTTATAATACTATTTTCTGAAATACCAGAGTGTCTGCAGAGCCTGCAGTTGCCCTGTGGTGATTTGGTTCATGAACAGCAAAAAGAAAACTCCTGAGAAGTTATTAAACTTGAGGCTGGAGGACCAAAGGAAAAAAAAAAGAAAAAAAAATGTTTGCAGAAACACTGAAGAGAATCTTGAGACTTTACAATTATTTCTGAACACAAATCTCTATGTTGATTTATCCAAATACTACTGAACAGCAAACCAGGTCCCAAGCCTAGCTAGAAAGGAGCTGACTCACCAGATTTATTCATGACTATTCATTTATCAGAGCAGCTTTCTCTCTTCTGTTTGTAAGCATGACTCACTTTTATAGCCACCAGATCAGATCACAGTTGCATTTTGTCTTGTGTCAAGACAAACATGTCCCTGTCCTGTTTAAAATCCTTCTTTTGCTTCAAGTTTGTTTCTGAGTTGTTCCATGATGGGAAAATCTTCATGGGCTTTGATTTCCCCTAGTTCTTACTTCTTCCCTACACGTGTTACCATGCTGATTTGTCTTTTCCTCATGCTGTAATTGGGCTGGTGCCACCATGTAATTTTTAACTGTGTGCAGTATCAACAGACTTCCATCTGTCTCTCCTCCAGAGCTTTCCAGCCTGCCGTTATAAATATCTGCCAAATCCTTCTCCAAAGAGAGGATCACCAGATTCCAACTGTTTGCAAAATAAGAGCTGCTGCCAGAAATCCTCTCCCACTGTCTGCAACCTGTGCAGAACCTGTCCCTGCTCGGGGTGGGATGGCACTGCTGGCACTGAGGAGCTCAGAATGGAATTCATTGTCACTCAGAAGTTGTGGTGGTCTCTTTGCTCAAGTATCTCATTATATGTGTTATTTTATTAGACAGTAACGTTCAATAACCATCAGATAACAAAATCAAAATTACTTGTATGTAAGGGTGGGGTTTTTTTCCCTTTTAAAATGCAATTCTGATTTAAAACATGCATTGGTGTGGATCAGTTTCAGTGCTGTTTTAAAAGGTGTTATACTTCACCTGGAAGGGTCTGGGAGTTCATTCCCCTTTCCCAGCCTGTCACTTAGGGGCTGAAGACTAGTTACCATGATCTAAAGATGGGGTAACAGATTGAACTTGCTGAGAGAAGTTTGAACTTCTACCTCTCTATATTTTTACATCAGAATAAATCATTAGAATTTGCAAAAACCAGACTTGATTAGATTATGCACAGTTAAAAAAAAAGGGCACTTATTAGCATGGATAAAATAAAATTATATATCAATGCATTTGGATAAAATAAACATTCTAGATTATGATGTGGGTAACCTTTGACACTTGAAGCCATTCTCATATGTCTGTTAATGGCATTGGTTCAGAGCTCTGTTAGCCTCATGTGGCTTTGTGAGTCCAGTTGTGTTTCTTGGGCTACAATCCACACACATGTTAGTTTTTGCTGCTGGTGTGGTAGCTTGCTCTGGCTGGGGAATTCACAAGGAGCCTCTTCAGGTACTGCTGCAGACATCAAATTAAAAATAAATGTCTGCTTGAGTGAAAACCTGTCTAGTTAATATTAGATCCAAGAAACCAGGTTTCTGTTATATCCGTGGAAGATTGCAGTAAGTCAGCACAAAGGATATTTCAAGGTTGTTTCAGGAGAGGGTTTCGTGTTTGGATCTGCTACATCTTAGTTCTGGAAAGCTCTGCAGAGGAATATGAGGAATGTAAAGCATCTTGGGGGGTTGGTAAATTCTCCTTCCAGTCTACTTTCTGAATAATGTGGTATTTTCAAGAGGCAGAGAAGTAGGTACTGTGTGTTGGACATGGGAATGGACCATGTGAAAACCTTTGTAGAGGGAAGCACCTTAAGCATTGAAGAAGCTTGGAAGTTTGTTTCATGATGTCTCATCAGGTTAAAAAAAACAACTGGTACTTCCATTGTCTAGATTGCACTGTGGATTTGGTGTCCATTTTTGAAGGTTTTAGGGCGATCAATTTCATTACTTCCTCAGGAGAGTGTGCAACCATTTAATAATACATTATGACAGCAGGAAAATATGTACAAACAAGCCTGAGCCTGCAGGACAGCTGTACCTACTCCCAAATGAAAAATATCCTCAGCGCTTGCCGGGGGTGGCACAGGGAGCAGTGAAAGGGAGCAGGGGCTGGGCTGGGCAGGGCTGTGCTTGCAAGGCTGAGATCCAGCCCCAGTTCAGTCTGATTTTCTGCAGCAAGGTTTTCTCATGAAGGAAGAGCCGTGGTTTCTTCTAAAGTGTCCAGGAGATGAAAAGCATATGACATTTATTAGCTAATTAATAATATTTTCTGCACCTTATCTGCTGTGCTTGATGTGTGTAAAGTTTCTGAGATGAGGATTTGTTGAAAAAATCAACCCTTTGAAAATCTGGAGAGGAGGGAAGGTTACATACAAATATGTAATTTTATGGCCAGCAGAAATAGGTTAATCTTTTTTCTTTATATTAATATTCAGGCTCATTCCTTCATTTTTTAAGGGAATATGCACGATGAGCTCTCAGTTCTCCTAACTCTTGTCTTGACTGCTTAGTGCATTGTGTGAGGTGCACACCCTATCCTCTTTGTGAGTGTTCTCCTTCCCCTCTTGCATTTCTTATGGAGACAAAGTAAAATACTATTTTTTTTATGCCAGGCTCGCTTTTAGCTTGTGTCCTTGTGAACTCTTTGTGGCCACAGCAGCTCCCTGGCAGAACTTCTGCCAAGTGCTGGCCACCTCCATGACCCTGCTGTGACAGTGGTCAGTGCCATTTTACCAGAGCACCACTGGGGTGTTTAAGGTCACTCTGACCTTGAGTTCTACTGAACACAAGATAAATACCTTGATGTTGTTCATCATTCAGGGCAAGATGGAGTACCTTGCCAAGATGTTAATATAATATAATAAAAATGAATGTCTGAGAAAGGATATGAGGCTTTCAAACCCTGCTGGGTGCACAGCAAAATCTTCCTACAGCCAAAACCCACAAAACGTATCTGGTTTTTGCAGCATTTTGGAGAGCCCCAGGTGGATTTGTGGGCAGACAGCAGCTCTGGTTGTCACAGTGGTGGATATACACAGCTTCAGGACCCCAACAACCCCAAAATTAGGATTTCAGTGGAGGTTTGAGCTCTGCACCAGCACAATCCCAAAGCCTCTCATGCATCAAGGTCCCTGTGTAGAAGCTGTATTTTAATTGCCAGCAGGCAGCACGAGTGACACATGAGCTGTCAGCTGGGCCACCTGTGGCAGCAGGAATGAGAAAGAGCTTTGTTTTCATCTTCTGGAGAGCTGTCCTCCCTTGCAGATGCTCTTCAGTCAGCATTGCTGGGCTTATCTCCCTCTGAGGACTTCAAAACAGGTAGAGGTGGGACCCCCATGTTGCACTGGTCAGCTGCTTGAGCTGTGCTCCATCCAAAAGGACTGGAAGTTGCTTAAAGTGAGATGGAGATTTGCTCCTCTCTTACACAGAGCTTTGTATTTTCCATCTACTGTGGTGTGGAAGCTTTAGCCTTCCTATTTCCAGCCTTCCTATCAGAATGACATTTTTTATTGGTTCTTAAACTGAAGAAACAACAAATTCTGCATCCTCTCTCAAGCACAGTCTTGTTAATGTTCTTTGAAACATGACGAGTGCTGTGGCCATCAAACTGCAATGATCCCGTTCCTTCTGAAATGAGAAAAACATGTCACTTTTGGCTCTAAGTAATACAAAGGGAGAGGCATATTCTAGATGGGAGCTGCATGGCTGCCAAAGATGAAAGAAAAATGTTATTACTTTTGGAAATTTCATAATTACAGTTAATGATATTTTAATGAAATGACATTGTCTTCACCGCTATCGCTAATGAAATGTTTGAGAGTGATAAAACAGATCTTGTTAAATAGAGCGAGAGTTTTGAGTGGAACAGCTTTGTGACAGCACACTGCCTGCACAAGTCTTGAATTCCTATTTTTTGTTAGAGTAGCTCAAAAAAGAAGATAAAATGAAGGCTGCATGGCAAATAATGCACAAATGAGGTATTTAAAGGTCTTCCATTAAGCAAACAATACTGAACTCCTGAGCAGCATGTTGATGACTGAGCACTGCTCCTTAGGAATGCTAACCCTTCATTAAAACACTTCCCTTGTTTTCCTTTGCAGGCAAACCAGAGAACAAGAAACCCCGCCTGACTTTTTTTACTTCTCAGACTATGAGAGACATAATGCAGAAATAGCAGCATTTCATCTCGACAGGCAAGTGGAACAGATTTACAGTAAAAGGGCAGATATTGTGATAAGTTGCTGCACTTGGCCATTCCTGTAACTGAATTACTTTTTTAAAAGGGGAAAGTGGAACAAAGGTGGGCAAATGCCATGAATAAATGAAATGGCAGATGATGAAAGAGTAAGTTAATAATTAGGAAATGTGACTTACTCTGGGAATGAGAAACCTGGCAAAAAGTAATTCCCAAAAAGAAAGCGAAGTTTTATTGAAGAGAAGCTGAGAAATTAATTTCCCTTGTGATCTTGCAGTACATATGGAGAGCACCCATCTCCCAGGGAATGTGTCACGTTAGTGATGGGAGCCTGGCTCACCCCAATTAACTGCAGGGCACAGAGATCCAAACGAGCCCTGGGAATGGTGTATTCAGAGAGGAGTCCTTGAGATGGAAGCGAGTTCTGGTTTCTCAGCAAAAAGCTGGGACTGTCCCACATCAGGAGCATATTTATGCCACGAGTTAGTGGGAAGGAGAGGGCAATGGTGGGCATCTCATGCTCCTGTTGTGGAAAATGTCCCCCTCCAGAGTTAGTGCAGGGGATGGTGGTTACCCCAAGACTGCAGCCCTCCATGTCTGCCCAGATGAGGGGTGGGAATTACTAATTAGTGATTAACAGTATGTCTGGAAACAATGGCATTTCACTGAAGTGTCTTTCACACTGTAAAAGGGCAAGAAACATAATTTTGAAAGTGCAAAGCTTTGGGGCCACAAATTATTTGGGGTTTGTGTAGAATTACTGCCCTCTGGAAAGATGACTGGGATATGGGAACGTGTTGGTGGGTGGCACAGGGTAGATATTCCAGTAAGAGCCAATCCTGATCAGATCCTTCAAGGATCTTCTCTGTTTTATTGTTGTTGACCTTGGTGTTGATCCCTTCTGCTTTATATTTTATGTTGCCGTTTTAAGCAGATGGTGCTGTAGAAAAAAACATCAGTGGAGTTCCTACGGGGGGTGTGTTAAATATCCACACACTAAGCAGGAAAAGCAGTTGCTACCCAATGAAGAAAATCTGAACAGCAGACAGTGGATATAAAAATCCTGCCTGTGGGGAGACTTTGTATGGGGTCTTTGCTCTTTTACTGCATCTAATAGCAGTGCTTCATAGGAGTTTTTATGTTCTATGAAGGTGGGGGAGTTCAGGGTAGGGAGAGGCTTCTCTCCCAGCCTTGGCCTGTGGGAAGATTTTTGGTCTCACGGAGATTGTTTAGGTTGGTATAAGGGTATTAAAACAGAAAGGAGCAGAAGGAAATAAATCAAACACATACTAAGGCTGTCAGAAAAAGAATTACATGGTGTTTACGGAGGAAAGAGGCTGAAATCCCATTCCCCAAGTCACTTAAAAACTGGTGAGCAAAATGCATGTCATAACAATCATGAAGTAGCACAAAGTGAAAATATAAATTTTTGCTGTCTCTGGTCTTTGGAATCGTATGTATCTTCATTTTTTTCATGGAACAATGCTCCATACTTTTCTTGTATTTCACTCCATACTACGTAGGCAATGCGGAGCTCATATTCAGGACATATTTTGTAATACATGCTATGAGGAATTATCCAGTTTAAAGTGATGGGCTTTATACTCCTTAAAGACCACAGATAAATGTGCCTTCAGAGTGTAATGAAGCTTCTTAAAACCTATAACTCTCATTACACTTTAATCCTTTCCATAACCCACGTCTCTTGTGCCTGTTGCAGGATCCTGGATTTCCGGCGCGTGCCCCCGGTCGCAGGCAGACTGGTTAACATGACGAGGGAAATACGAGATGTTACTCGTGACAAGAAGCTCTGGAGAACATTTTTCATCTCACCAGGTAGTCCTGGAAATAACTCTCTCTTCTCTCTATCCCACTGAACACATACTTAAGGAAACGATGTGTAGATTGCTTAATTGCTCAGATATTTCTAATAAAACTGTCTTCTAGACCTTTGAATAAAAATAAATGTGGAGACATAGCTTACAAAGAAGACTTTATTGTTTTGAGTTGAGTGCCTTTTCCGCTTGACAAATTATCTGCAGAGGGAGGCTTTTATGTTCACCAAAGCAGTGTATTCAAAAAATGTTTTATGTAGAACAATTTCTAATGCAATTTTTTCTGATGCTCTCAGTTTACCCAAACCCTTATTACCCAGCTCATTAGTTATTCAGGGTTTTTTTCCCACTGCAATGTGATCTGTCACTTCTGTTGATCAGATGCATTTAGTTCTGGGTTTGACTGGAGTACCAAACCTTATTTCTCAGAGTCATTCAGGTTTTATTACAACACAGTTTGGACAAAAAAAAAAATCAGGAAATAGATATGTAATATATCCTGCTTCCAGCTCAAATTCTCTGTTGGGCTAGAAGTGACCTGAATTGTTCCCAGTCCTCACTCTTGCTCTGAGGGCTGACCCAGAAGCTGATACCACTCACTCCTCAGTCTTTCACAACATTTTGTGGACCTAGTCAAGGATGGAGCTCCACAGGGTGGGAATTTTACAAGCACAGGATAAAACCCTGTCCTGCTCACCAGAATGTACAACTGGAATAGGGAAAAATGAGCAAAAGGTGGGAAAAAGTGGTAACATCTCTTATTTAACATCTGGGATGCTGAGATGGAGAAATGAAGGCTCTGAGTTAAGGCACCGAAAGTTTAAGTTTGTTCTTACATATAGAATTTATGGTTATAGGCTCAATTTAAATACCAGGTTATAGGGTCAATTTAAAGCACAGTGCCATGTTTCAGTAGTTTAATTCAAACTGTTTCAGCTGTGTGTGCAAGTGTGCTTTGCTGATCTGAGGCTGTGACTTGTATAAGAGGCAATCTGGAGCAGAAACCTCTGGAGATCTCTCCCTTGCTCTGTGTGTGATTGGCCAGAAGCTGTTTATCCCAGATCCCTAAAGTGGAGATCCAAAGACTTAATTACAGTTTCTCCCAATGTAACTGTAATTTATTGCTGTTAGCTAGAAACCAGAGCTGTCGTTGCAGAGCATTTGCTCTTAAAATGTTTATCACACTTTTCTGATCCCCAATAAAGTCATTATTACGGCTGTTATTTTTAGCTACATATTTATGTTCAGCTCTGCAGGACATAGTTGAGCAGACAGTTATTTATTCCAGGAACTTCACTTGTAAATTACATTACCTAATTGCAGAAGGTTTCATTTTACCCAGTATCATGAGCACTCCAATTTTACATGCACATTTATGGAGACAATACATGTTCACCAAACCTGGTGGACACAACATTTCTGCATTTGCCTTAATTGCTTTTCCTCCCTCTTTGTCTCTCTATACTCTTTTTTGGTTTTGGCTGGATTTTTTAGGTAAATACATGCAAAAATGGCAAAAAAAAAATCTTTTGACTGTGTACAAGGTGCTTTGGCTCACTTTAAACATAAGCCATTTTATTCCTATTTTGTCAAGTAAGATGTGGTTTAATAGGTTTGCTTGATTTTTAGTGTTCCTAGGTTATATTTCAAGACTTAGGGATGAAATTGAATTACAAAACTGTTCTCAAGTACTGAGCAGCTTACATCAGCCAGAGCAGGGCAATACAGAGTTAAGGCTGCTAATTCAGATGAAGATCTTTATCTTGCCATTATGAAGTTCCAGACATGCAAGCATAATCCTTTATTCAAATTTATTTAGAGGTCTCAGATAAATTCAATTAAAATATTTGATTAACTATGAATCAGGCTTTTCTGGAGAATAAAATGCTCAAGCAATTAATTTTTCTTTCCATTTTACATTTCCTGAATCAATATACTTTGGTTAAATTACGTTGGTTACTTGTCAGACTTCTTCCCTACAAGTCCCCAGCTTAATTAGTCAGATTCTCATTAACATATGCCCAACCTCTGTCTTGTATTTCATACTGACCTTAAAAGGCAGGCATTAATTAATGCTTAATGAAAAAATAACAAAGATCCTAAATTAAGCTTTTAGAAACAACTTCCACGAGGCCAGCAGGCAGCTCAGGCAGCAGATTGAGGGCAGGGAAGGAAGAGAAGAGGGAAGTGCTGGGGTGAGACTCGTGGTCTGGGGGGTGAGGATGAAGAGGGAATAGGGAGCCTGAGGAAGGCTCAGGGGCTGACTTGCCCCTCTGGCAGATGAAGGGCAGCTGAGGCTGTTGGTTTGGAGGGAGAGCTGCCTCCAAAGGTGAGAAATGGAGGTGTGACCTCTGGGTACATGCACAAACCGGGCTGTGCACCAACACAAGCCTGTAGAGGACCCTCTGGGACTCCCTTTCAGGTGGCTCTGTCACTGCATCTCCATCCCCAGTGACAATTAATGGTCATGATGACACTTGGTGCCTGCTGGCAGAATATCCCTCTCCATGCACACATACACAGCTCTTAAAATGGAATGAGCACTAAGTGAAATTGATTTTATAGGAAGATGTTCCCCTCAGGCTGGGAGCCCGTGGTTTGCACCCTCAGAGGGTGATTATTGATAATATTCATCAATCACAGCACTGTGGAATACCCTGAGTTGGAGGGGGCTCATCAGGCTCAGTGAGTTCAGCTCCTGGCCCTGCACAGGGCACCCCAAGGATCCCCCCAGGAGCATTGTGTTATCTCCCAGACCAGTGTGGGGATGTGTTGGGAGAAACCTCACTGCATTTCCACTCCTGGGCCACCTCCCTTGTCCCATCAGGTGTGGAAATCACAGCCAGGGAGCCACTTCAGAGCACAGTACCCAGCAGTGTCCCTGCTCCCATGGAAAAGTGACAATGGCTGTGAGCAGGCAGGTCAGTGGATGCATTAGGCTGTGCTCAGAGAGAAAGCAGATTGCAGAAAAGTGCACTTTCAGGCAGTTTGGACTTAAACATGAGAAATGGAATTAGGTCAGTAATTATTTAAATTAATTTTATGTCCTTTGCATCAAGGCAGACTGTAGTAGCCCTGCTACTTTTATAAATGAATGGTAATTTGCTAGGAAAAAAGAGACATATTAATGATGTCAGCCTTCATTTTGGAAGTAATTGAGGCAGCAGCTTAAAGAAATCAATGTTACACAGCTAGTAAGCACTATGTTTTTGTTCATATTAACCAGTTCCAAGGGATTATGGATTTTTTTTCCCTCTCAGCATACAATAGCAGTTCTGAATTACCTATTATTTTGAGCAGGTAAATGAAAGATCTTTTTATGCATTGCTGTAGTAAATATTCAGGATTCTTTCCAGTACTCCAGTTGCACATGCTTGCTAAATGTCCTCTATTAACAGTCATGCAAAGCTGAATAAAAGAATTGCTCTGCCGAGCAATTTGCTTTAAGGTATCCCCCCTTGTTCCTTTTCTTCCTGAGAAGAATTATTGTTCAGCTATCAGGAGGATGCACAGAGAATTTGCAGATGAGTACACAGACACTCTGGTTCTTAATTGTTGTAATTAGTTGCAGTTTCGATCACCAGGCCATGATTTTTGCCTGCATTTCATTACCAATCACATCCATTCCTCCTCAGATAATGAAAATCAGACACCGCAACTTAGGATTCTCTTGTCTTTCTGGTGCTTTGGGAAACAATTTTGGTTTGTAGTGAATAAGTGTTTTGCATGTTGGCAGTGCTCAGCATTTGGACATTCCAGCATGTATCAGCATCCCTCCCTGTCTGGTTTGCCAGCACTGCTGTTGTTACCATTCCAGCCCACCCTGCAGGAGCACAAATTCCTGGCTGTTGCTCCTTTTGCAGGTGTACTTATGCAAGAAACACCTTTATCTGGTGAGAGGAACATATGGTTTGGGCAATTTTAGTGAGAGGAGAAGGACTGTGCCCCAGCAGGGAGCTCATCTCCCCTTTCTCTCTTATTTTTGCTTCGGAAAGCCAAACCCTGCTCTCAGCATGGGATTGCCATGAAGCGCTGGGCTTGTGGCTCTAGCTGGAATTTCACCCTCAGCCTGCTGTGCAGAATGTGGGTCACCTACTTAGGTTTCAAAGAGCCTTGCTACAGCACCTTGAAGTCTTAAATGAGATCTGTGGTTTTCTATATTTGGTGCCTCTTTTTTTCCCCTTACATTTTTAAGAAACCTTAAAAATGAATGTTTCCCCTGATAATTCAGGCTGCTTCATCTTACTGCTGGTATGTAAGGATTAGGACAGACATAATAAGATGTCTGTTCTGTATCAATCAAGGCAGTTAATTTCTTTAGCAGTAGCTTGAGATCCAGCATCCTTTCACCTCCACTATCTCCAGAAATTGAACAGGAGCTGCGGGGAGTAGGTACCACAGGTCTTAGCCCATGGGGGGAACAACTTAGCTGGCAGAAAAAGATTTGCCATTGAATGTAACTTGTCAGTGAGAAATACACTTGTGGTTTTACTGCAAGTTCACTGTCTTAGTGGCAGGACACATCTTGCCATTGCTCAGGGCACTGGATGCTGAGCAGGCGGTGGGGCTCCGTGGAGGATCAATAGCTGGAAGATGCTGGCAGGGATGAGTGGGATGAGTGGCAGGCAGCACATGTGCTCACTGCACAGCCCTGCAGCAGCAAACAGCAGCACTGCCAGAGCCCCCAGCTCTCCTCAAGTTTTACCTGGGTACCAGTGTGTGATTACTGTCAAGTGATTAGCCCCAGTTGCTTTCGTTGACAATACAGAGCAGGGTTTCATTGTTCCCCAAGCTGAATACAGAAGCAAACTATTAAACAGAGTGTTTTTCTTCCCACTGAGCAAAATGCTGTGTTTAATACAACTCCTTTTTCTTGAAAGGTCAGATTTACATAGTGAGCAGCAGAGGCTGTGATGGTGTGGGGGGCGTTTGCTGGGCCTTTTGCTCTTTACAAAACTGATCCTGCAGGAGATAAATGAGCACTGGCTTCCTGCTGCCAGGTGGAAGGCAGGTCATGGAAACCCTGGAAGATAAGTTATCTCAGGCAGTCAAGATAAATCTGCATGGTTCCCTCCCTCCACCGATGAGGGGGTGATGCTGACACAGCTGAATTGAAGCTGAAGTCCCACTGCAGCTTCAAATCAGCAGAAACAATTTTTAAGAGAGGATATTCCACTTGGTAAAACATTTAAATTGCAAACTCGGAAGTACAGATATATTGAGTGATCCCTTCCTTCCTTTTGTAATTTCTGTTCTTCCTTTTCTCTTCCCTGAAGTACTTTTCTTTTCCTTGAGTAATTGTCAACAAGGTTTTTGGCCACAGAGTAAATATTTGTGGACTTAGCCAGGATATATTTAACTGCTATGATCTAGCCTTGTAAATATAAACATACAGTTTGGGTAAGTTGTTCCTGATGGATGGGTGGCCCTCGTGAGTCAGCCACAGCAGGGTGATGCAAAAAGACCGTCTTAGAGTGAAGTAACCACAACTTCGTGGACAAGTCAGGTGGCCATCAACTGAGAAAGCTGGGACATCAGTGAGAAGCTGGGACAGATTGTCAAGTACCAAAACATCAGCCTTGTAGTGTGGTTATTTGGTACAATTCCATGGTTTAACAGCCAGCCTAGATAATGCAGCTGATTAATCAAAAGCATCACGAGACCTTTTTGCTGTTCCATGTTCCCCTACTTCTCCTTCCTCAAACACAGCTCCTTGCTGTGTTCCTCCCTCCCTCCTGTCATCCTCAGAGTTGTCCCCTGTCCTCCTGACTCACCATCTCCCACTGGCAGTGCCCCATCTCCCCTGGGCACTCTGCTGGATGGGGTTTGGGCTGGGGATGTCACAGTGACGTGCAGGGCCGTGTGCTGCAGGGCATCACTGCCATGCAAACCCACACTTACCTTCCTGTGGCAGCCAGAAAATCACCTCCTGCTGCTGCCAACCCTTCCTGCCTCATTTACACTGAGCCTGCCCAGAGGGAGAGGAGCTCAGAAACAATATTTGAATTTAGAGGCCTTGTGGGGAATTAGGGAGCAATGTGACTTCTCAGCTTCATGCATTACCATGAGGAAAAGGCACAGTCTTCCTCTAATGACATTTTATGTGCATAAAGCAATGTCACAAGAGTTGTAGCACACTGGCAAGAGCAGCAGTGTGCTCCTATTCCTGTTCACAGTCTGCTGTTGGTGGGCTTTGGGGATGAGCTGCTCTCTCTCACCTTCAATGAATTCCTGTGGGCAGGATGTTCTTGTAAAGGCGTGGGTGTTCCTGTTGGTACAGAAATATGTGGTGGCAGTTTTGGGGAGGTTTTAAGGTAACACAGGGTCCAAAACCTGCTGCAGATTCTTTTTCTGTGGTTGTTGGAGTAATGTGAGGTGTGGAGGAAGGAATTAGTGTTTGAGATGTGTGCTGACAGCGTTACATCCGCGCTATTTCCACCTTCCATGCACACCCCCACAGGATTCTGGATGGTAAATAATTCTCCTTGCAAAAGCTGCCAGTTCTTCTCATACCAGCAAGGAAATGAATGAAAAGTTCTCCAGTCTTAAAGAAACAAGCCAAGATTTTGAGAAGTGACTTAATTTTGGGCACATGCCACTTGTTCAGCTCTGGGATTTGGGGTTCCAGCCTGGGGTAGCAAATAGTTCCCAAGGAATGTATCAGTCTGGGAAAATGAAAGGAGAAAGGACAGGATTTAAAAAAAAATGTTTGGGGAATATAAATAGACTGGAAATAGTCACAAAGAGCTTTGCACAGGGCGTGATCCCAGCCACTGAAATACTGTCTTTCTAGTGGTTTCAGTGGAGAAAACTCTGTGTGGTAACAGGAGTTTGGATTTATTTCTGCTCCTACATACATCAGTGCTTTTATGAATTCTCAATACTAATTTAAGGGTAGGCTTTAAAGCTCTTTTCCTTTCTTTGCCAGCCAACAACATCTGCTTCTATGGGGAATGCTCCTACTACTGCTCAACAGAGCACGCCCTGTGTGGGAAACCAGATCAGATTGAAGGGTCCCTGGCTGCTTTCCTGCCTGATTTGTCACTAGCAAAAAGGAAAACCTGGAGAAACCCCTGGAGGCGTTCCTACCACAAGCGCAAGAAAGCAGAGTGAGTAGTGGTGAGCAGAGCTGCACGGGGTGACAGGGAAACAACCCAGTCCCTGGCCCCAGGAGAGCAGCTGAGAGGGTTCTCCCAGCCCCTGGGAAGGGACAGGACACTGCATGTGCCAGGAGCTCCAGTTTTTGGTCTGAACCCAAAAGGACCTTCAGGGACACAATTCCCTCATGGGACAGGTACCTCCAGTGGCACTGGCAGGGTGCAATGGGACCTGTCCAATCCTGTCAGAGGGAGAAAGATGCACTGCTCTCAGCAGCCCTAAGCAAGTCTCAGCTGTTTGCACCACATGACTGATGGTGCAGCTAGTCTCCTAAATCCTGAAGCAGACAGTTTTCAGTCTTGTGATTTTCTTTTTTCATCAGTGACAACCTTCCTTGCTTGCCTGCATTGCTGGAATTTGCTGCCTCTAGCTGACCCTGCCCTCAATCAAACATGATAAAAGTAGATCTTTGCAAAATAACTTTTTTTTTGTCATTTTCAGTAAGCTTTGTATGTCACATAAAATATCAAAATATTGCCTTTTCCAGATGGGAAGTTGATCCAGATTATTGTGAAGAGGTTAAACAAACACCCCCATATGACAGTGGGACCAGAATTCTGGATATAATGGATATGACAGTTTTTGATTTCCTAATGGGTATGTTTCATCTCTTTCAAAAACTAAATGCAACATTTAATTAGAATAAGAACCATTTCTTTCTGCACTGCTCTGCATAGCTCAGCAGTTTGCTAAAGCGTGGCTGAAGCTGCATTTACTGTATGTGCTTTTCTAGATGATTATGAGAAAATGCAGATTTACATGGTTATGTATTCCCATCAGTGCAGATTAAAGGAACAAAGATGTTCAGAAATGCAGAGTGGTGATGAATGCAGGTCAGGCCAGTCTCCTTCACAGCAGTGAAGGGCTTCACAGTTTGCTTTAGTGAGTGCTTTACCCCTGTGATATATGGCTCCTGGATGCACATGCAAGGACTGCTCATTACTGGTGCTTTGTTTTCATCCTGTGGGAGTGTTCTCTGCTGCTTCTCTATGAAATGTCAGAGCTGGGGGGGAAGAGGCATTGCTTTGTCACAAAGGCAGCTGTGGATTGTATCAGGAATTTTTCTGTTTATGTAACCTGATCTCAATAAAATAATTATTTACAGCCAGGTACTAGTGGTACCATTCCAAGCCTAATTCGCATTGTCATATGAAACCTTCCCTGCTGCAGCAAATACACCTCTAAGTTGCCAACTTACATCCTTGATCTTTGGGCACATGCCAGCAGGGACACATCCTGTGCCATTGCCCCCACTGAGATTCCTGCAATAGGCTGCAGCAGGAGAGGCCAGGTGACAGCTCAGGAGCCATATGTGGCATCTATAAGTAGCTCAAGGCCCCTGCTGGGGAGACAAAATTCATGGCTTGGCAGCAGTGCTTTGCACATTGGCCTTAAAAAGCAGCTCACACAGGGAGAGCTGTGCAGCTGTGCAGATCAGCACCATCCTGATCCATAGCTCACAGACATGATGCTGTTCTGGCTTCCCAGGCACTCAGCAGCTGGGGCAAACCTCTTACCAGAGGAAAACCAGGATGTTTGGTTGGGCTTCAGGAAGTTGAATGAAGTATTAACAGAGTGATCTGGATTAACACCCCTGCTCAAAGCAGGCATTTTCTCCTCCCTGAGCAAAACCTTGCACATGTCACATGGACCAGGTCTGCTTCACACACCCTGCTGGGCCCAGGCTGTTCCCTTGCCAGCAGGGAACACAGCTACCCTACAGGTGACCACGCTCCCCAGGCAGCTGAGGTGCTGTTGTGCTGGAGAGGGGTTTCCTTGGTGTACCCCAGGAGGGTTGCAGGAGAAGGGGAAGGTTGGTTTTGTCTCCTGATGGGCCTTTTAGAGCTTAAGTATAAAAGCCACAGAGAGCTTGAAAAGCTGCCAGAGATTTAACAACCCTTCCAGTATCACACTCTTTGGGGTGTCTACAGTAGGAGCAAATGAGCTCCGCAGGTTTGCTGCTTTCTCTGCTCTGTTTCTGTGGAGCACTGGGCTTTTGCATTGCCCTGGCCTACGGGCTTAAGCCAGAGTGAAAATGGTCTTTTTTCTTCTCTTTGTCCCATAGGTAACATGGATCGACATCACTACGAAACCTTTGAGAAGTTTGGAAATGAAACTTTTATTATCCACTTAGATAATGGAAGAGGGTAAATACCTTTAATAATCCTTCTGGGCTCAAAGAAAAAAAAATAGTCAGTCTTTGCCTTTGTTACATTCTTGCTCTTATCTTTAAATAGGTTTGGAAAATATTCCCATGATGAACTTTCCATTTTGGTGCCTTTAAACCAGTGCTGCAGGTATGTTTTCCCTCTGGAGGTGTTTCCTGGTTTGTACCATTGTTTCTACTAACAACACTTGAAAACGTTCAAGTGAATCTTTCATTGCCCACTGTGGAGAGGAGGAGATGGAATGATCCTGCCCAGTTAGCCCTGAGCATTGCCACTGCCACATTAAATGCTCTGTGGGACCAGGACACTGTAGGAGCATGGCTGTGAGCTTTAAGAGAAGCTTTAGGACAAGCTACAGATCCCATGGAAGTCAAGTGACAAAATCCCAGCTTGTTCACATGATTCTCAACAGCTTTCCTTGGTGGCCATGGCCAGGGTTTTCAGAGGGTGACATTTATTTAGAGTTTCATCTTTGCAGGGTGAGCTCTGTGTCTGTGGGGACTCTGGGCAGCCCTGCAGGGTGAATCTGAGGAGCCTCTGCTGCTGTCACACATGTGTCACACGTGTCATTGCCACAAGGGACATGGTCCTATGAATGTTGCACCAGCTCCCCTTGGTGCCTTTCCAAGTGAGGGATGTGAGGCTGCCTGCACTGTCCCCTGGATCTGTGCTCCAAAACCTCCGCACCCATAAGGGCCCCGAAAGATCAGTGGCCAGGTCACAATGCCAGCTGCTCGCCAGGACTGTGACAGTGCCTGCTTCTCCTCATTCCAGATCACAGAATAAGGCTCTTACACTATTATTGTAATTCTGACCATAAGCCTTTTAGCACTGTCGAGATCAACAGTGACGGAAATAACTGATTTGCTTTTTTTTTCTCCTTTTCTTCTTAGAATCAGGAAGTCTACCTATCTGCGATTACAGCTGCTAGCCAAGGAGGAGTACAAACTCAGTCTCCTGATGAAAGAATCTTTGCTAAAAGACAAAATAGCTCCAATCCTCTACCAGCCTCACTTGGAGGCGATGGACAGGCGGCTGCGGATTGTGCTCAAGGCTGTCAGTGACTGCATAGAGAAGGATGGGTATGACAACGTGGTTGAAAATGACTTTAACACGGATGTGAACACTGTTACAACTGAGAGGTAGTGAAATGGCAAGACTACGTTTTTACCAGCTGAGTCAAGAAGATTCAAAGAAGGAAAAGAAACAAAACAACAAAAAAATTAAGTCTTGCAAAAGACTGTGTATGCTACTTTGTGAATTCAGTGAATTCAGAAATGAGATATAATTGTTCCCAAAGTAGGTAAAGTGTAGACTCTGCAAAGGATTAGTTCATTAAGAAAAATAAGTCTAATGTGATGCTTTTCATTAGTTCCTGAAGAGAGATTATGAAAAGATTCAGAAAATACTCAATCATGGACAGACAGCAGTCTGATAGCAAAACACCTCCTGTCCTTTTTGTATAGAAAGGAGGCCTTTACTTAATATTTTGTATTTATATATGGCATATCTATGAAACCCCAGACCTACCTTCCAAATTTAACTAAGAGGGACAGCATAGTTTTGTGACTCACACTTTATTTGTGGTGACAGTCCACTTAGTATTTTGTGTTAACCCTTTAAGTGCTCTAATCCACTGTATCTTATTTAAATTGAATGCTTATTTTCCCCCCAGCTAATCAGCATTTAAAGGGTTAAGGCATTATGAACTTTTAAGGGCAAAAAATAATAATAATAATGATGATAATAATGATAATAAATACAGGGGTTACCAGAAGGGAATTTCACTAATTGTGCTTTGACAGGAATACTTGAATGTTGGTTTTACAAAGTGATGTAAAATGACAAGTTGTACTATTTGTCCATAAGGAGGTGGCAGCTCTTATCTTTCTAGACTATCATAGCTGAGCTGCTACTTTTCGATTTTGCTTTTGATAGTTTTGTGTAAATATATACATATATGGGTAAAAAGCTGCTTTCAGCAGCTCTAGGCTTACTTTTGCAGCATTTTTGTGGAATTGTTTGCAACGTGGTAAAAGTGCAATAAAGATATGCAAAATGTGTAGCCATCTTGTCCAAATGGATTCATTCATCTTGTTCAGAGCAAAGCTCTGTGCACCAGCCAAGTGTCCCAGAAGTGGTTGTTTAAATTGTCATCCCCTTTTGTAGCAGCAGCAAATGGAGCTGGAGCAGGGAATTGGTGATTAATTGGTGATTAATGCACACTGCAATGCCAGTAAGGGCTGGGGTGTTGAAAAGGGTTAATCTTTCCTATGAAAGCATTGTTTTGACTGTCATTTCAGCATCCCTTCTCTTGCAATTATGGCTGTAGAAACGAGCTGTGGAGAAACACCTCATTGACACAGAGCCTTGACGCATTGCCCAGAGGATTTAGAAACACCAGTGCCTCTGACTTGGGCTGCAAAAACCTTTGTACAATCTAGAAAATCCCAACCTAAATTAGCTGGAAACATGGTATTCTTATCCAAATAGCTTTGAATCATGCTCAGCTGCATTCATTTAAGATTTGTGGAGACTCTCAGCTCAAAAGCAAGCTATAAATTGAACACGTGGCTGTATTTGACTTGTGAAAACATGGTGTGGTACAGCAGGAATCCCTCATCACTCCTCTGGGTGAGGAGAGAATTTATTGTGACAGTGTTCATCACAACTTTAATTCAAAGCTGCCATTTATTTCATTTGATGTCTTTTTTCCCAGGGATTCATAACCATATACTTTAAAAGCCAGGTAGACTAAAATGTAGGCATTTCAGCATATTAAAATTATGAATGAGAGAAAAAGCTGCTATATGGGCTCATTCACTTCTTAGGTTGATCTATTATTACTAGAAAACACCTGTCTTTTATATTTTATTGCCCATTTCGAATTCCCATGGTTCTCACATACATGGCATACAAAGACAACAGAATATCTCAAATTGTAGAGCTGTGCATGAACTTGGAAAATTTCTGGTTTATCCCATGGCTTTTTTTCACTTTTGAAGACACACCTATGATGACAAGGATTCCTATGCAACACAGCACTGGAACTGCAGTGTTCTCTCCCCATTAGCCAAAAAACAAACCCCAAAAGCAAAACATGGGAATATAAAAAGATGAAATGGTTGGTGTTATCCTTGGTCTACCTTCAATGCCTGGCTGTGGTTTTCCTGCAGGTGCAGCTTTTTCTCACCATGAAATTGTGCCAGGACTGCAGAGGAGCTATAGAATCACCTTCCCAGGGCAGCTCAGCTCTCTACTTCTGGGCTCAGCTCAGCAAACCTGGTTTGCTTTTGGAAAGCAGCACTTGGCAGCTTCTTTGTTCAAAGAGGATCAGATCAGTGAAGGTCATGGTTCTTCTTGGCTGGGTGTAGGTCAGGGGCTCCTGGCAGGATGGGTCAAGCTTCTCTCTCTGCAGAAGGCTGCCTGGTGCTGTCAGGGATATGAACTTACTGTTATGCATCTGGTTCTGAATTTCTATAAGCAAAAGCAGTAGTTTTTTTTATAGATTAAGTGGTGTTAAATATGGAATAAGTAGTGTTTGTACAGGGTGTGAAGAACTTAAGGTCATTAATCCTTGCCACATTGTAAAGAGTTCTGAGGGCCTCCAGTTTCCTCCTCCTGGACTTTGATGCTCCCCCTTGTAAGCTCTGTGCTACAGCTTTCTAGACTAATAAAAATTCTTCTCATTTCTAGTCTTAAATTAAGCATACAGAAAAGCTGAAGGGGAGGCTTTTCTTTGGCATAAGACATGCACATACCTTGGAAGGAGGGAGATACTGGCTCACATGCTCACAAGGAGAGGTTTCCTTTCTCTGGTGCATCTGATGAGAAACTGGGGTGAATGAGCCCCACGTGGGCAGTGCAAGTCTGAGCTCCCTGCAGGGTGCTCAGGAGATGGATGGCAAGAGCTGAGCCCAGACCCCACCTGTGGTCAGGGTAGCTGAGGACACAGCTCATCTGGAGGATGTTGCAGGGCTGGAAGGGATGATTAATTAATTAAACAGGCTGTGCAGTTAGTTCTCAGTATCTACCAGGAAACTCTGGTGTGTTTGCATTCCCACTGCCAGGCAGCTGGAGCTTTGACTCATGTTCATTTTCTAAGTTTTTTGGGAAAGGAAAAGAATTATTGCCTTGTTCTGCTATTCCTTTTTTATGTGGGCAGGGGTGAGTGGGCATGAGAGACAGGAAACTGGAGCCAGGAGGGAACTTGTGGCCATGCATTTCAGTTCTTGGGGTGACACAGCCCTGAGGAGAGCTTTGTACAGCCCAGGGAGGGGCAAACCCCCACTTTTGGGGTGCATCTGCATTGCCCCAAGGCAGATCTAAATTCCTTCTGGAAACCTCGTGGGTCTTCCTTTAGGCAAAGGATGTCACCATGTGAGCCCGTGGCTCTGAAAGGGCTGTCATTGTGTGTTTGGTCAGTAATCCAGGAAATGAGGAGGATTAGTATGATGTGGTGTAACATCTCTTTAGGAGCACTACATATCTACCAGACAAAAATGTTCACTCTAGAAAGATAAATAAATGTCAGAATTCAATTGGTTTGTCTCTGAATCTCAGAAGTTGGTGTAGCAGCAGGGCCCAGACAATTAACACACTGAGAAATCTGAGATAGCCTGTCAGGGGCATAATGTGTTCAGCACAATAAATACAGTATGCACAATAAATAACAGATAAAAATAGATAATATATTTCTAAAAGCACCTAATTACAATGGTATCTGACAGCACAGAGTAGCTTACCATATTCTCCTGAGTAATTCAGAGGAGAGCTTCATTTGTTTTTGTGGTTTTTCTGTTATTTAAGCATCAAAGGGAAATTGCAGACAGAAAGCTCTCATTGTTTGAAGTAGGTATCATTGTTGTGATCAGCAGAGCCCGTGATGTATGCACAAGCTGGAAGCCTGAAGCAGATTGCAGAGTAAGCAGCAGCAAGATGTGTTGTGTAGGAGGAGGGAAACTGGGATTTCAGCCTGGCTGCTGCCCTGGGGCACTGAACTGAAAATGAACCTCAGTGGGCGTTCCAGGGAGGAGCATCCAAAGGGTGTTCTGCTTCCATCTGGTGGGCCTGCACATGGTGGAGCTCCAAGGGGGACACCCTGCTATCCCCTGCAGCAATGGCAGTGTCCCCTGTGTCCCCTTGGCACATCCAGACCACACCGAATGACTGCCAGCAAGGCTCTTGTGGCCCCAGCCTGAAAGTGCTGAGTGTCCAGCTCAGAGCAGGACACACACTAGAGCATTGATCATTTGCATCCTGAGGGAGCAAACTTTTCTTCTAGCACTGAGTGTATAACCACAAAGTTAATTTCCAAGAAATTATTCCAGCTATCATTTGTTTCTACAGAGTTTCTTGCCCATGGTTGTTTATTTGGGGTCCAATACACAGAAATAATTGTGCACAAGGAAAATTCTTTTGAAACTGAATTGGGTGTTTGGAGGAAATTTTGAGTGTTGTGGGATGAGTTTTCAGATGAAATTTCAAGTTATTACCAGTTGGAAGCTGCTGGATTTCTTGACAATAATATTTTTATGCTTAAAGTCTTCGTAGGTAGCCTCCAGCTGTAACTCTGTCTGACCAGATCAAACTCAATTATCTGCTCCCTTCTACATTTGCATCAGTAAAGTACCACTTCAATGCTTTTGGGGGCTGGCTAGAAAAAAAATTAAAAGCAATTCAATTTGGTGGGTCAAAAGACTTGAGAATTGAGGTCAGACAAGTTCTGGCCATGGTCGGAAATGAAGCATCAGCAAAAAGGAGGCTGTTGATTTGGCAGCACCAACTCTTGTTCCTCCATTGCAGGGGCAGAGCAAGGATTTTTGTCTAGAAAAGAGCTGCTGGAATACCTGGTGCTCCACCTTTTTAGACATATTAAACACTTTCCATGGTTTTCCATTTATGTGACTCTGATGTAATTACAATGACCAGCTAAGGGGGTTTTGAGCAGGATGGGGGGAATGCTCATATTTGTATCCAGTCTTCTCTGTGAGGATTTAGGTGCTGGGATATCAGCTTCTCTCTTTCAAATGACCTTACTACACAATCAGCCCCATCCCCTGTCACAAGGAACTCGTGTTAAGCCTTGAATCTTGCTCAGGTGTGGGCCCAGACCCAGCAGCTTGCAGATGGAATCAGCAGCTGGAACTAAAGCAGAACATCTCAAAATTGGAGATGTCAGATCAGAGCACTCTCCACTTCCGTGAATGTGGGAATCTGGGTCACGTTGTGCCTTGGCCACAGTAATGAATTTCATTAGGATCTCATCATCAACTCCTCTGACACTTCTGGAAAGGTGCTGACTGACAGACACATGCCCAAAACCACCTATGGCATCTGCTAGTTGACCTTGACATAACTTTAAATACATCCCAGGGTGCCTTAAGGCAGAGAATTTAAAATCTCAGCCCCCAGCTGCTGTGGCTGTGCAGCACCAGCCATGTGTCCCTGGAACAGGTGATCCCCGTGCTCGCTGGAGCACCTGGGTGCCTGCAGAAGGTGCCATAAATCAAGGCAGGACAACAATCTGCCCTCATCTCCTGACTCCTCATGCACACAAAAATGAGAAATGAGAGCTAAAGCTGTAAGCAAAATGTGAGGTATGCAGCTGAGGGAGCTGGGGGAAAGAAACCATCCAAAAATGACAGAGGCAAGCTGATGGTCAAATCCATTCTTGTGAAAACAAATATCTAAGGAGCAGCACTTATTCCTCTGATCATTGTCTGAGCTTTGGAGATGGAGGACAAATCTGATTGTAAACTAGGCAAACCAGGCTATCCAAAACTGCAAAGTGCTTTTGTCATAGCTTTTCCTGGTAGTCCTTCACCATAACAAATTTATGCACCAGGAATCTTTGCTACAGGCAGCATTTATAAATAGCAATGATAAAAAGCATTTCTGGTTTATCCATTGAGTGAAGTTTGCATTGTTTTCTAGATCAAATCAGAACCTTTCTGCTGATTTTTTAAGAAACTCCTTCTTAATCAGTGGAGTCAGTGAGAGTTTTACAGATGTAGAATTTAGGTGCATTATCTTCTTTCTCTGCCCCATTTACAGATGAATGGT